GTGAGTCCAAAGGACTCTACCTCTTGAGTACTACTGGCTTTAATAATTAGTTTCACACAAGTCCAAATTAAGGATCCTTTGTTTTTTCTCTTTCTTTCTTAAAACTGATTTGCAATATAATTTTGGCTTTTCTAAAAAATTAATTCACAGATTTTTCAAATCATTACTATCAGTCTAAGAAAGAGTCATGCTTATATCTTGTAATTCCCTTTAAATTTAGGCTAATTTTAAGCACAAGAGCACTAAAGAAGACTTCTTACATTAAACCTCTTTTGTTAAAAAATGATCTAATTAATTTTCTGCTATTAGAAAGAGACTTAGAATATTCCTTTAATAAAACAAAACAGGGCAGAATGTGGAATCCTTCTGCTCCATATAAGAGATCCGAACATGTAAATAACTCAAGAGAACAATAGCCTGTACCCCATCAAGTGTTTGAAGACAAAAGCAGTGAGTAATGAGGGGGCACGACCTGCACAGAAACAGCCTGGGGAAAGCTGAAGACCAGGACCTGCGTCTTCTCCATCACGATCCGCATACAGATGTCTGACCAGAAGTGATGTGTCCAGTCTCACTTGGTCACAAGACTGTCATTCACACTAGAAAGACGAGAGCTGGAACTCTTGGGCCAGAGTGACAGTGAAGGCCCCTGAGGCCCTTCAAACAGTTTTCTACCTTTATACTTCTAGACACAAAACAGTTGCAATATTATTACTGTTTAATTCACTGTTTTCAAACTGCATTCATATTTCACCTGAGTATCATTTGGGGTTTGCCATTGCTGACTTTCTGAGAAAGTAAATGGGGTTGGGAATACAGCTCAGCAGATAAGTACCTGCCTAGCAAGCTCAAGGTCCTGAGTTCGATCCCTGGTACCACAAAAACAAAAACAAAACCAAAAATCTTTCTGAGAAAGAAAAGGAAAACTTCACATGAGAAATTTTACAGGAAAAAGCTTTTAACCCTTCTGAAAACTACATTCTATACAAGTAACTGAGAAAAAATCAGCCCATCGGATTTACCTACTTCGAAATCTTTTGCTTCCTAAGACACACACTATAAAAATGAAGGTGTAAAACCAGGGCTATGTTAATGTATACAACCTGCATAGCTGTATGTGGTATCCCTGCAGACTCCCAAATGCTATTATACAAGTGAGTGACAACTGGTGACAGTCTAGACTAAGGATTATTGTTACTGACAAAAGGCAACACTGCTTATTTGTAGTAGAGCCAAGGCCAGCCTTACTTTTTACAATTAATAACAAATTAATTATAAAGTATTTGTGGATGGTCAATATGACAGATGCTTTCCGAGAGAACACAAAATCAAATAGGACAGAATTTTTTTTTTATAAAATAAAAAGATTTTAAATATGGAATGGACTTTAGCTCTTTTCCCCAAATTTATTTATTAATAGTTAGTGTTAATTACATATTTACTTTCTATTAAAGAGACTCACTATGGCCCTTTCACCTTGCAAACACTTTGCAAAGGTAGTTATTACATGTGTATTACTAAAGGTGGAAAACTACTACTTCATAAAATATACTGTAACTAAACATTTTTTTACAGTTAGGTTGGTGTTACCTTGCTTGTAAATTTAATAGCTCATATTTTATAACATATATTGATATCTGTATCTACATAGAAACATTTTCCCATTGTTTTGTAGAATTCTCTTAATTATGCTAGTGTTATGATTCATTTCAATGCTTATATTCCTAAAATGCTCCTTGAAGGCAAGCAGACAGCCTCTAGTTTCTGCTTTCCTAGTGGTTTGATAAAGGAACAAATAGCAAGAAAGGAGTATTCTTAAGCCCTTAAGAATGGCCAATCTGTGACTGAGGGGGCAGCTTCTGCGATCAGTGCCCCATGGGGTGAACCCTGGTCCCGCCACTTCTTGCCTGTGGGATCATGTAAAAATGACTTAAGCTTCTCAAGAACCAAGAGAATAGGCCCCTCAGCTTGCAGTAAATTGGGCTGGACATGGTCAGTCACTATGCCCTGGAGAAAGCATTTGCCAAAGTATTTGAAAGGTGAGAGGGCTGTTTTCCTGTACCTCAGTTTCTTCCTCTGTGAAGTGGAACAGTAATGGTATCTATCTCACAGCATATCATGAAGACAAAGGGAAAACACAAGAGGACTCCATAATGATGTATACAGTATATATATATATATATATATATATATATATATATATATATATATTGCTGCTTATTATTAATGACAATTTTGGAAAAGATGCTCTTAATGACAAAATGGTTACCAAAGGGGTTGTATAATACCATTCCCGAAGATGTCTTAAAACAAATTAATATATAACCCTCCAAGAACATCATCCAGCTGATAACAGAGACTTGCATACAAGTTCATCTTCCCAGAGATTTAAAATTTGTAATACAGGATGTGAGCTGATTGCTTCACTGAAAATTTTGTTGTCAAGAGGACTAATAAAGAGTTTGTGTAGCATGTGTCATTGGGGGTTTGCTGAGACCAGGTGGTTAGTTTTGATTTGAACATGAGAGACCAGACTATGGTACTAATACTAGTGTATAATGCCAGGAAGGGTCACGCCTCAGAATGGACTGTGGATTGGACCTGTTATGGAGAAGAGGTAAGGGAAAGGGCACATAAATGCAAGCCTTGGACTGTGGACCCTCCCAGGTATCAAACAACAGATAGTGCTGATTCAATTTCTATCAACCAATATCAATAGGTATATCTTTGTAAAAGCTACAACATACTTTCCTGACAATATAATCTCATTTATGTGGGGATCCACTGGCTGGACTGGTACTGCAAGCCCTGGTACTGAAGCAGGGATTTAGGCTAATTAAATAATGAAAATGGTATCAGCCTCTAGAGTAATATAATTCAGTTTTCTCACTTTGCAGAGGAAAAATAATTCACAGAGAGAGTAAGCAATTTTCCAAGGGGACAGTAATTTGGGTGAGAATTCTCCTAGGGTCAGTGCTCTTAAATGAAAAGTCTTCATATTCAATGAGCCAGAAAAGTGAGAGATTTATTAAAAAAAATACTACAGAAATTATCTTTCCAGGTACCAATTACTACAGACTGAACTAGAAGTTTACTCACAAAGGACTCAGTGATAGCTTAAGGCTCAGTTTTCACTTATCCTGAGCAGAAGAAGGATGACCAAATTATTCAGTAGGATAGAGGTCAATTCTGAGGATTATATGAGGCCTTTATGATTTATAGGTTAAGGCCTAAACCTCCTGAAGGAGCTCACATTCTTAGAAAAGAGCTCAAATCTTGTCTCCAACTACATTCTGAGCAAAGCCCACATTTTCTGTGCTAATCATTATTTATAATTTGCTTTGTCAATGTCCCTATAGTAATATCCTGGTTTTGACAAGGCCTGCCATGCCCAGTGGGGGTGGCAGGCACATGGGCTGCCACAAGGGAGTGACTCATAGTCTTGTTTCAGCTCAGCAAAAAACTGTTATGTATCACAATTACCTGCGGCCAACAGGTACATACAGACTATTACTGTCCACTGGGACTAAATTCCCAAGGGTTGCTTTGATTAATGATACAGAAAATTATTTACGATATGGAGTAATGAAAATCACATGAAATACAGAAGTCTATCCATTCTGACATACAGACAAAAGGGACCTGACAGGAAGGGTTATGTTTTGGACATCCCACCCCTGCTAGTCTTCTTTCTTTTTGCAGTATTGGAATTGAACTCAAGGGTATTCTACCTCTGGGTTACATCCTTAGTTCTTTTTATTTTTATACAAAGTCTCACAAAATTGCCCAGGTAAGAGATGAACTTTTGATCCTCCTGCCTCAGTCTACCTTACTGTGCTGAGTACAGGTGTGCACCACTGAACCCAGTTTTATTTTGGATATTTTAAGCATTTTCCTAAGTACGTCCATTGCTAATGCACTAATTACTCACTTTCCAAATTGTAAAGTACTATGAAAAAAAGAAAAGTTTCTGAGATGCTGAGGGAAAGCCAGAGAGGTTCTGGGGTGTTTCTAGAAACTTGCCAGGCTTCAAAGGTTCCTCATCACATGCTGGCCAGGCTCTAGGCCAAAGAAAAGCAAGCCCCTCTAGGAGGTGGAAGGCATTCGAGGGGCTGGCTTAGCTTAGGTACAGAGGTGGGATGCATTAAAGACATTTTCTTCTTGGCCACTCAATCTCCATTTGGAATGTTCCTGCGATTATGAGAAATAAAGACACTGCAGGAATTGTGCCAGGTTATTTCATTCTCTCCAAAGTATCCATTAATATCTAATTTAAGTAATTACAATTAAGTAAATGAAATATAAAGAAGGTGTTAAATTCAAATGACTTCCTGCTAAAAACAACTTCAAAAATACATTATCAGGTTAAAAGCCTTGCTGAAAAGATTCTATGACAAAACCTACAGTATCTTCTAGGAAGGCAGGACATAAACAGGATGTTTGGGTCATGGCTTAAGTCATTTTATCACTCTTCCTTCCTCTTCCTGTTGGAGAAACATATATCTGTGTCAGATTCTGTCCTATTTTTTTAAGAGTAGGACAATTGTGAGTGGGGCAGTAACAACTGTTGTTTATCTGATGTTTCACAGGGTAACACCCTGCTGAACCAGCAGCTCATGTCCTAATGGAGGTTACTGAGAAGGAGGGATAAAATTCAAACGCCACATAACAAATTCCAAGTTTTAACTTAGAAATCTTAGGGCAAGGCCTTTGTTTGTCCACAAATATCTGAACTACATTGCAGAAAAAAAAAAAGAACTACATTGCAGAGATGAGTTCAATCACACATAGAATACATCCCCTAGTATCTGATGCATAGTGCCTAGTATCTGATACACTATGTGTATCTAAAGAACTGTGGATTTGCATTGCTCTCCTACCCTTATTAACATATATGGGAAGCTTAGAATGCATCTCTTGTCAGATAGCCTCAAAGAACTAGCAAATAAGCAGTGTCCTCCACCCACTGCCAATGCATTTTGGAGAACATTCATTTTTACCTTGTGGTCCATACTGGCTCATCTGTGGACCGTAGGTTCCACTTGAGTTACTCTGCTGAAAGCTACTCATTCCAGGATGCATCTGGCCTCCAGGAGAAGGATGAGGCGACATGGATGGTCCTGTCTGCTGAGGCCCATATTGAGACATCTGAGGATTTCTTTGTGTGCCTGCCATAAAACCTAAGTGGAAGATAAATGAAAACATGTGAATATGGGTGTTTCATAACCTCTGTACACACAAGACAGGATTATCTAAGAGAGGGATCAGGAAAGGTTTGGCATTATAAGATTCCCCTAAGAAAATACCCAAAGTCATTTCAAACCCAGATGAGGAACTAGGATGGTACCACCGGGACATCCTAGTCCTTACCATGAACTCTCAAGAGTTCTTGGCTACCTAGTAGACAAATTTCACCTAGAAAAAGAAAAGGGGGCAGAAAGGCAAGTTACAATATTCATTCTTGTAGAAAAGGGCCCTATAAAAAAGCAACAGTAACAGGTAGGAAGCCTCTATTTTTGCCAGGTCTCTGGCTCCTAAGATATGCCAGCCAACCTTCCTACACCAATGGTTTTCAATTTCTGCAGTACGGAGCTGTCTCCTTTCCTTTGAGTTCCTAAGGCAAAATCATCTAGATTCCTGAATTATTTGTCAGCCTACCAGGAACTGATGCACACTCTCCCTCCCAGGTGCTTCAGGACCCACTGGAAGGTCCTATGTATACACTACTCCTCCATATTAGAGCCTGACTACCTCCTCCAACTTGCTTTGCCAGTCCGTGTCCTCACTTGGTATGTAGTACTGCTGGTCACCCCAGTTCTCCTGTCAAAAACTTTCCTTCCTTCCTCTGTGTGCCACTGACTGGTCTGCACATCCTGTAGACCCTACTCCTGTAATGCACCTTGAGTTGCTCCTCTCTTTATTTCTACTTCTGGGAAGCCTAATCTCAGCTATGTTCTCTTTTTGCCCACATTGCAGTTATTTAACATGTTCATGATGGGCTGTAACTCCTATGTCTCATTGCCAGGGGGCTTGAATCACCAGTAGTACATTCATGGCTGCCCCAACAAGTGGCTTTATATTTATTTTATTAAGAAAAAGACTAATAAAAGTGATTAAATCTGTTTGTACCACTAGTGGTACAAGCCACTGTATGGAACAGTTATGCACATAGTTGAAAGAGGCATGAACTTGTTAAGGGATCTCTCAGCACAGACCCTCTATCCCTGCTTCTGTCTTTTAGTTTATTTTGCAAAATCTGTCAGAATTCTCTTTCAGGAATAAAAAAGAAGAAACTAGAGCAAATCTCCCACTTACACAAAGCCCTTCAAAGCTTCCAACTGCACCAGGACTCAAACGCAAATGTATCCTAGTCTAGGAGATCTTCCCTGGTCTAGCAATTTTATTCTTTCTCCCTCCCCAAACCCTTCTTGTCTACTGCTTTCCTTCCCTCTGTTATTCCAAATGTTCACTGGCCTATGGTAGTTCCTAGAAGACAGCATTAAGCTCTTTCTCTTGAAAAAACTTTACTCTTCTCTGTTCCTCCTTTCCCAAGTACTCTTTATGTTGGTGTATCTTTTGAACTGAACACTCCACTGACATCTTGCCAACTCTTGCTGTTTCTCACTCCTCTTCCTATCACTCTTCATAACCTGTAAGCATTTTGCTATAACTAGTTTTTGATTCACTTATTATCTTTCTTCCCCACTGATCTGGGAGGGTAAGCATCACACCTGTGCTCTCTGTTGCATCCTACAGGTCTTTCAGCTGTGTGGGAAGCAGTAAATTCCAAAACCTTTTTTTTTTTTTTTTAAATGAATGGACATTAAATTGCTTATACACACAAATAAAATAATGTGCTTAGAACATATAGTAAGTGCTTGGTGAACTGGTATTTTTTTTTCCATAATTTTATTGAGAAACAAATAGCAATGACACAGTTTCAAAACGAAATTGGTAGGACAGTTTAAATAATTAACACACTATATACATTCTTCCTAGTGGCTAATTGCTGTACAAGATGCGGACATGATATCCTATTTACAAACACTATTAGAACAAATCCCTGTATTCATTAAGAGAATGTAACTATATATCTATCCTAACCATTTTGAATACACAGATACAAAATGGACATTCATCTGTATCCTTTTTTTGTTTAGTTCTGTCATTTGAATATTATAAGTGTGTTAACTCAGCAAAATATTCTAAAAGAGTCCAGTAGTCCATAATAGTATTGGGTCTTCTGCTTCACTGGCAATGTCAGAAACTGTTGACCTGAGTCCCCTACAGCTCAACATAACACCATGGCTTTACTTCTTATATTTCGTTTTTATACTTTTCTGCTGGATGGTTAAGAACAAGGTAAAGCAGGACCTATGCAACAAGAGTTGCAGCTTTTGGGTCTGATGAGGTCAGTGAAATTCCCTCAGGATTTATCCTGAAATCCTGTACCTCAGATTGTAGATGTCAGTGTCAGCCATGTGGATGAGTGATGGCCATTGCTTGGCAAGTGTGCTCTCTGTGAAAGCCTGACGGAATGTTTTCTCTCCATGTGACTCCTTAGGCACACTCTACATCATCGATCACTTTCCTCTTTGGCCCCATAATCTCCTTGATCAGAAAATTTGGGACACTACCGAGTTATGTGATGTTATAGTACAAGTTCTCATATGTCCTGAGTCTTAAGTGACCTTGGAAGGCTAGGGCCAAAATGTTGGCTTTCCTTGTGGCCCTCCTTTTTCTCTAATTTTGGTCTGCAAACTTAGGTTGTTAACCCTCCAGAAGAGAAGCTTATTCTTATTACCATACAACCTAGGCTGTTAAGCTTAACCTCACTATCTGTCTGAATATCAAAACATCTTAGGCATAACATGGAACAGGTATTTTTCATCAAGTATTGATATGTTGAACTTTAAGTCTCTACAGAATATGATGAAAAAAACATTTAAAAATTAGAATATACTTTAAAAAATAGGCATAAAGAATTGTATAAGAACTGTTATTTTAAATCAATAAAGAAATACATTTATATGTAGATCTATAATATCAGGTACACCTATTTATCGGTAGCTGAAGCCAATATGAATACTCAGAATGATAGAATGCCGAAATCAAGGCACAGATATAAGAACCTGGTGTTATCAAAATAGTACACCAACAGAGCACAGTTTGGGAAAAAAGAACAGAACCATGAGCTTATGCTACAGACAGTGCCCATGTCATTAAAGGAAGGCTGTGGCTGGCTTGTAAGAAGTAAACTGCTGCCTGTTCTTGAGAACCCAAGGCTGCAGTTTCTAAAGAAAAGTCCTATGTAGCAGCACAATGTGGGATAATACCTAGATCCAAGGTTCATATAAACTAGGGAGAGTAAATAGCATATTGTTTATGTACAAAGGTAAGGGCTTATATCTCAGCAAGAGGAGGTCTTTTAGGGCTGGCAAGATAGCTCAGTGGACTAAGTGCCTGCTTTGGCCAGAGCAGGGACAGGCGTTTGATCCCAGGTTCTGCAGGCCATGCTGGCCAAGCCCCTGGGGTGCAATGAGCCACAGATGGAATCCGGGCGTGGTTGCACAGGCCTGTAATCCCAGCACAGGGGAGGCTGAAAACAGGAGGATCAGCATGAGTCTGAGCTGCATGGTGAGAACCTGGAGCGAATACATACATGAAAAAAAAAAAAAAGTCTTTTTAATACTGCTTTTGCTTAAAAACACATAAAAGCAGTCATTCCTTGTTATGCTATTAAATTTATTTATAAAAACAAGCTTTACGAAGTTGAGCCCAATTGGCAGCTCCCAGATATAAATATCATAGAAAATATCTGCTTTTTTCTAATCTGAAAACAAATAGAAATCAGGGCACATAAAATTACTATAAATGACTGCATCTTTAAATGTTACATGAAAGCTTATTTATCTAAGCTTTACTACGAAAGTCTCACGAGTTTCAGATAGAGTTCTGTTTAGGAAGTGTTTCAATTCTGTACATATACGTGAATGTGTATCTTTCCCCTCTCCTGTAATTGTTTTTGTTCTCACTGATTACACAGGGATAGCACCACATGTCCTATTAGCATATGACTTCACTTCAACCAACAAGGTATCCATGTTAAAAACAAAAACAAAAACAAAACAAAACAAAAAACATGCACACTCAGAACTCCGATGATATCCTACCTCTTCTCCTTATTTCTGGAATGTCTTCTGTGGGCTCAAGGCTTAAGTGCACTGTGCCCTGGTGAGTTACTTCCTCATTTTATGATTATTCAGCCCTTTAAAAGTGTGATTTGACAATTTTATCACTGAAATTTTTCAGAAAATAGTTTGTGTAAAGTCTTTAAAAGGAGTTAGCATCTGAAAAACACTTCAAGCTGAGAGCTGGGGGATGTAGCTCAGAGGTAAAGTGTTTGCCTAGAGTGCATGAGGCCCTGAGTTCCATCCCCAGCACTGCAAAAAACAAATAAACTAGGAACAATGAAAACAGAATGTGTCAGAACATTAAATCTTAGGTATAAAGTCCTATGGGTTATGAAATCTGCCTTGTCACATGGAAATTAAAACTGAAAAACTAATTTTCTTTCTGTATATTTTCCAGTGACTCCACTTACAGATGACTCCACTAAAATTCTGTTTTCTATTTTCTTTAGGAGTCACCCTTTTCCTTATGTTCCCTAAAACTGCAAAAAGGGAAGGTGACAACATTCCCCTGATTTCTGACTCAGCTATCACCATCACTTCACATTATAGCCTAGTGTAAAGAGTTCAGAATTCAGTGGGGGAGAAGGATGTGTTGAATAAAAATTAAAAACACTGCGGTGCACATTGAGTCTAACGATGTGACTTTTGGCGGTTTTAATTTCTTATAGCTTTAGTTCCCTCATCTTAGAATGAAGATGAGCTCCTATAAAAGTCAACTGAAAGAACACACCAAAAAGTATTCTGTAATACAGAAGTTAAGAGATGATGATGCTAACTTTTTGCTTTTTGTTGTTGCTGTATTTTCATTTATTTATTTATTCATTTGATACTGGGCCTCACTATGCAGCTCACAGTTGTAGTGATCCTACTGTCTCAGCTTCTCCAGCACTGGAATTACAGGCATGCACCACCATGCCAGGTTCTGGGCCAACATGGCACACCCAGGTTCCAGGGCCAGCACAGCATGCAGGGCTGGGGATCCAAGT